ACATGCTATATTACCAAGGAATGTGGGCACAGTCAGAGCTCTAATCAGAAATAGAACTCTAACCTTTCAATCTTGGAGACTGGTCTTCCAAATTTAGAAGTCCCAACTTCCATAGCATGGAAAATGACTGATGTGCTTGCACACGATTCACTTCACATTCTGATTTTCTTAGCATAGATGTGGGTTATGCCACAGCTATTATTCAAAAGGAGAAGAGGTCTCTGTTCATTTTAAAAATAAGCTCGTACATTGTGTACATCATTGATGCCCTTGATTTCAATTAGAGTAACTATTTCAGAACTGTGGGAAGACACGAAATTGCATAACACTGTGTGTCTCCTATGGTTTGTGTCAGCTGAAAAACATTACTTCAAGAATGATTAAACCAAGGTAACTCAATAAACAGAATAGATTGAATATATGTATGTATGTAGGTATGTATGTATGTATGTATGTGTATATATATATATGGCACTTTTAGGCTGAAACTACACATAACCCCTAACTAAAAGTTAGCTCTGCTGTTTCTAGACTTAGTGTGCATTAAATACTAATGTTGTAAACAAAACTGGGCCCGTATCTAGGATATCATTAAGTAAAAAATGGTGAATCTTTTAAAGCACTGCTGTCTGTCTCTGAGCAGACCCCTGGTTTTTCACATTTCTTTCTTATTTGTCTCTTTTAGTTTGGAGTGAAATTTGCAGGTGTGATCCATGATTACTAATGCTTCACTGTTCATCTTTCTCGTCACCATCTGACACATCTCACTTAGAATGCATGACATTGCATGTGCTCTCTGTTGCCTTGGCCTCTGCTATATCATTTTTTTGCTTCCAGAGTTAGCGGTGGGTGTGCTCTTAAACGTGCTGCCATGTTCACATGCGTTAACATCTGTGAAGAGAGTTCAAAGTTCTCCAAACCTATTGGCTGCAGGTATAACATCACTAACTCACAGTATCATACTTGAACGGCTTCACCTCACCTTGCTCTTTCCAGAAACATCTTGTTAGGGATATGTTCAGTGAGTTTAAATGTCTTTCAAATACCCCACTCAATCTTATTTTTCTAATCCCAAGAATAGCTTCTATCCTTTCTGGTTTTGTTCTAAAAATAAAAACCAAAGGAAACCGATACCTTGTTAAAAACAAACATTTAAAAATGCAATTAGGAGCATCAGTCACTCACCATAAAATACGTAAAACTGCAAGTACGTAATAAACTAATAAATCATGTTTTGTTATCTCAAGAATTAAAGTGATTTGGATACTTTGAGAATTCCAGGGCGAGAAAGAAAGACTTGATCAACATAGATCTTTACTAATATGGTTCTTCCCAAAGATTGCAAACAGAAAACAGACCTTCTTGCATCTCTAATACACTTTGATCAATTTTATTTAATATGAAGTCACAGATAAAAATAATCCAGAAAGCAACTGAGCATATGGGTATGCCAGCATTCACTGAAGTAGTTTCCCAGACTCCAAATGTCAGTGATGACTTACCTATACCTGTAGCAAATCAAATTGGCATTCAGCCTGTCCCTAAACTCTTCTGGCGGAATAGCAGAAACCTCCTGCTTAGTTAACTGGTTAATGTGGTTGCAATCTAGGGTTTCTGGGCTTATTTATAAATGAGTTATATAGCAGGGAGGGAGGAAAGTGATAGAATGAGATTTAAAATTACTTAGCAATTCTGTGTTTCAGTCTTCTATAAACAGGTTTAGTAGTCAATTGGTATTGAGGATGTCCTACCAGTCTTATTAAAGAAAAACAAATTTTTGAAGGTGAGTGGGACCAGACAGGCAGCGGCAGGCGGAAAAACCGTACTCCTTACAGACTTCTACCTTCTTCCCCAACTCACATATGGATTTCAAGGTCCAAAATTAAATGTCAAATCATGAGTCTTATATTATCCTTCTTTTGGTAATGTATGTAATCTGGTCTCATTTGGGTTTAAAAAAAACTCTGAATATGTTTCTCCATGCATGTATGAATATGAAAAGCTATTATAAAAGCTATAGATGTATTTATACTAAATGCATGAGATATGAGAATGATGAAAAGTAAAATAAATAAAAAGGCAAGCATATTATATCATTGGAATGCCTGAACCATGAATGTCATTGCATTGCAACCAAGTAAAATCTCAGATGGGACCACCTGATGCACATGCTAGAAAATGGCTCACCATGTTGTAAATTCATATTTGTGATTACTTATAAAATGTAACCCACAAAGAGATAGCATTGGATTGAACTAGGGATTGCATATGAGAGTCAAAACTGTACTAAAAACAATTTCATACCATTCAAGTTGTTGGGGGAAAGTGTTTCAGAGTCAAAATAGAAAAATAGCTGAGCCTCTGTTTCTGCCACTTGATGTCTACCCAGAGTTCTATGACCCCACAGTGTGGTCACTATTGTGAGGGAACAAGAGTCTTCCTTAAAGCAGATTTCTAATGGTCACTGTGCATTATTAAACCAAATTAGTTTTCTCATTGTCCTTTAACCAAATGAAATGTTGAACTCCAGAGCTCCTTTTAAAGACTGGGTGTAGAATCCAAAAAAGGGTCACATGAATAATTCTTCAAATTAGTTTTAATGGATTATACTCATTTATTTTTATTCTAATTTATGATCGGATATCATGAACAAGAAGCCTTTCCTCTTCTACAATTCACCCATGCTAGAGTAAACCCAGGCAACTGAGCTGATTCACATTTACTTTTTCTTCCCTTGATTTGGGGGAAAAAATCCACCTTAAATATTTTATAAAACCAAACCTTTTATTTCTCAAGTCACTAAGCATATAGACCTTAAATTGATATTCCTGAAGCATTCAGGTAGAAAACAAAGAGCCACTGAGTAGGGAACAACCTGCATTAATGGTCCCAGGGAACATATGAAAAGAATCCAGGAGCTGGACTGCAGTGAAACTAAGGCACTCCTTCAATTCTTTCCAAGATAAAGGCTTTAGACCCATAGACCAAAACAGTGCAAATGGATTCCCCCAGATAGCCATACAGGTGGTTCTTGAATATGTAGTTCTGAGACAATTGACCATCAGCATATGGTTAGACAAATTATTTTCTATGGTTTATTTTCTACAGCTTATGAGCTAGAAGACAATGAAACACATTGTAACAACTTTCATGTTTGTATAAACAAGGATTTTGAAGGGACAATAAGAAAATTTTAATTCCAGAGAACAATGGGGAGATATTACGGTAGCTATATCTTCCTTTTGTAAAAGTTAAAAAAAAAAAAAAAAAAGCTAGCTTGAAACATTAGTCACGATCTAAAGTAGAGGTTAAATAGTGAGTTATAGGTAGGCTTCAAGCAGCTATAGACCTGGTGACTTCGCTGAATATTCTAAAAGCACCAGGTTCTTTTCAATCCTTTAATTCTATGTTCAGGGTTCATGTATCCACCTTGGACCACAATCACCTTAAAATTACATGGTTGCAATATTATTAAGGGTTAAAATTAGTGTTTGATATATGTTCTAGTTATAGATTATAGGTATTTTAAAAATGATAAGCCCATTGAAATTAAAAATTGCTCACAAACGTCTCATTACTACATTTAATGTACCCTGTTTTAGGATTGAGATAATGTCGGCAAAATAATGCATGTGGTTATTTGCCAAGTATTTTTACTGGAGGGTTGGTTTGTTTCCCACTCACATTAATTTCAACAATGTTTTTCTTTCAGGGCGTGATTCTCAGTCTCCAGACTCAGGTACAGAAAAAAAAAAAAAATGTGAATAACTATTGTGCTTATTCCAAGGACATTTTTTTAACATAATCATAGCCACGTCATTGACTTCATGTTCAATTTAAATTTCATGCATTGTTATGCATACTAAATTAAAATCTTACCAAGACTACTTTGATTTTAGAAAGACACAACAAAAAAAAAAAAATGCAAGTGAACGTAGATATTTCTGTGTCCAATTTGTTTTCCCTTAATAAAAGCGTGGAGATCTTACAATGATCGAAACCCAGAGACACTGAACGGAGATGCCACATATTCCTCTCTTGCAGCAAAAGGTTTTAGAAGCGTCAGACCAAATCTGCAAGACAAAAAGTCACCAACCCAGGTAATTAAAGCTCATTGCCTGTCATGTGTGTAGTGCTTAGACCTCTGTTTTCTTGTCCTCTCGGGGACCTCCTTCTTAGTGTCATAGCTTGAAAATGCTTCTGCCTTTTCTATATCTTTGCTTTTCATGCTAACATGTACAACATGGGGCATGACTTTTAAGCTCAAAACAGGTAGGTTTTCTTTTGTGGTTGTTGTTGATTTGGTCTTTATTCTTTGGTAAAGCTTATAAAAGTAGGCCAGCTCATACCATAACGTTGAAGATAAATTTTCATTATTAAAGCTCTGAGGGCTGATGTTTTGGATCCTAGAGTTTTGAGAGTCAGGAATACATTATGTGTTGAATGAATACAAGTCAGACAAATGCTGACCCTTTAAGATGTTAGGAAAAACTGCATGTAAAATGGTCTGAAAACCATGTGACTAAATGAACTGTGGACCTCCAAGTCTAAAAATGGGACAAGATAACGTATGTTCACTTTTAGCATAATTTCTAAAACTGTGGATGGAAGCAATATCTTTATAATGTATTCTAAATGAAAACAGCTTTTCCAACTTGGGAGAAAATATAGATGATAATACATAAAGTAACTGCTGAGTCTAGACTGCTGAAGACATAGGGTAGATGAGTTTCTTCAGGGCAGGTCTGACAATATTCCTCTCATGACTAACTTGGACTTTCTTTCTATTTTTCTTTCTATTTTTCCTTCATTGTCGTTTCTCTTTCTGAACACTCTTGGCTATTTAGGCACCCCTTCCACCAGACAGGAAAGAGAGCTTTTGTCTGTCCTTGATAAGCAATCAAACAAAGGGTGGTGACATTTCTGACTCATTAGTAACTAACACAGAAAGCCCATGGTATACAGAGAGCCTTCCTAACCCTAAGCCTCTCCAGGGAGCTATGCATCCCAGTGAAGATTCTGACAAGACAATTGTGTATTCTGAGGAATCCAATACAACTATCTCGTACACACAAAAAATCACTAATCCGCTACCAGCAGCCTCCAGATCCACTCCTGCACTATTTGGAGACATTAACACCCCATTTCTACAAGAGGACTACATGCAAGATTCTCAAAGTCGAAGGATTTCTACCTTGAAACTAACCCATAACCAGGACCTAGGAAGTAGCCCCCCTCTAAGACACCACAATTTTTCAACCCCACTGATGTTCCATCATTTCTGAAAAGGTCTTGCTCACCAACCCCTACCCCAGGACCTAACACACACACGCATCTCTTTCCATTCAGATAGCTCCCCATTCAGGGCATGATCTTGAAAGTCACCAACAGTTCCCTGAGCTGCCTCCAGAGAGTGAAAAGATGCCTCTTCAGCAAGAGAGACAAACGTCTACAGATGCCAAGACCTGTCAATCCCCAGCGGTACATTACACTTGCCGGTCTCTTCATCTGTGTGTGTGTTGCAGAGCCCCTAACTCCTTGGGTTTGAGCTTCATATTAAACCTAATGTTTTATTAGTTTCTAAACAGGAAGGGAAAGGAGAAAGAAACTATTTCAAACTTGACTGAATTCAGTCAACTTCTTTGCATCTTTCTATTTAAATACATGCACATTGAACTTTCACACAAAAATCATGATCTTTCTATGTTTTTCTTGGAAAAAATTAATAAAGAAGTTGTCTTAGGTACTGTAAACTACATCCAACCTTAAAGTACTTCCAGATACCAAAGACTGATTTTTCATGTCAGAACTTTGGAAGCCAGGTTAACCTTATTTAGATGATCCTCAATTGTAATATGCCTTATCTTAATTTCAAGCACTATTTATTCCTTTGTAAATGGACAATAATTTTTTCTAAACTTCCATCAGTCGATCATTTCAGAAAACACATTAACCAAATTTTGTTACCTAGATTTATTTGGGGGAGGCTATTTCCACGTATGTAAAATTCTAATTTTAATGACACCCACCACCTCTATCAAAAGGAAAGCCATTCTTCCCTCAGTTTCTCCACAAAGTGACACTGAGTTGCCGAGATAAACTTTAAAGGAAAACTGTGTAGTTTTCTCCAGGCTTTATTGTTGCCTATTTATCCATAGTAACCCCTCTGTGAGTCTGAAATAGAATCAAGGATGAGGCAAGACAAGAGACTCTTTAGAATAGAGAAAACACCAGTGCATTGGTAGCTGCTGCTAAGAGAGGGGATTCTGGCTGTAGCAGGATTGAAGTCATTACTGCCTATGTAGGTTTTCTGGTATCTGAATTACTGAAGAACACACAAACATCCTTTCAGACAAACCTTTTTTAAGCTGTAGAAACCCTTAAACAGATAATATGGCTAACACCAAGATTCCCTTAACCTATTTATTCATAGTGCAGAAATTTTAAACATTGTATCTGACAAATCTATTACAATATTCCCACCACGCCATTCATTTTATACAAACGTCATTTCATAGCACAATTGTTTTGTAAATACAAAATTTATAAAATGGCTCTGAACTCACCATTCTCTAGCCTCTACCTTCTAAGTGCTGGGATTATAGGTGTGTGCCAACATGCTCAGCCTGAGAGCCCAAATGATTTTTTTTAATTGTAACAATTACAATAATAGCAACTGTTGTGATAACTAAATCCAGGAAAGATGGCTATTCAAAGTTGGGTGAAGGCATTGGAGATGTGAAACGCAATTGTGGGAATATTATTTTGAAAGTAGAGCAAATAGAACATCTGAGAGATAGGAGATGAGAACAGTCAAGCTTGACTCCAGCTGAGAAGGGGCTAGTGCTATTAACTGAGACCAAGAGACCACAAGGGAAGCAAGCAGGCTTAGTGAAAAGTCATTTGTGCCAGCGGAGACATGTCAGTGTCTCTAGACATGCAGGAGAAGTAGGAGAGGGTTGGGAGCTCAGGGCAAAAGTCCTGGTTGGAGATAAAAGTGATCGGCTTACAGATGCTTTTTGTAGCCAATAGATGGATGGAGGAAACCCAAGAATTGAGCTTATGCAAATCTTTCCTTTCAAAGGAAGAACCAGTTAAGCAAACTGATATTGGTATCTCCAAAAGGAGAGGAAAATCCAGGAGAGGAAGTCATGGGAGGATAGGCAAAGCAACTCCAAATATTGTTGATAGGACAAGTTAATTGAAATTTAAAAGCATACCACAGAGGTGAAGTGAGGAGGGAGGCTATCTACAAGTGGCCTTAGCATAGACAGGAAGGAGACCAATTCGATCATGGCTTCTTTCAAAGTGTTATTATATGTCCCTCCCTGAGCTTTGTTTCTTCATCTATAATATAGGGTTAATAACAACTTTCATCTTAAAGGGTTTCTCAGCAGGTATGATAATATATATGGGGAATTTGGCATACTGCCTTCTACTTGGTAATTTCTCCAACACACAGAAGCTGTTATTATAGTTTTCCAAACTATAAAACAGTTTGGGAAATTAAATTGATGCTTTAACAGATGAATGAAAATGTATTTCATCAGGTTAACAGTGTGCTATATTGTCTTATAATACCTTATAATAGGTGACATAAATTATTGCAATTTTGCCAAGAAAATGTAAGATCTACCTTCTTCACAGTATCATTGCAGTTCATATATGTGGCAGGTATATATGTTGACATGTGTTGGGAATCTTTCTGGATTATCCTTCACTTAATTTGTAGAGGCCAAAGCTCTCACTGAACCTGGAGCTTGCTATCTCAGGCTACTGTAGCTACCAGTTTCCCACAGGGTCCACTATCTTCCTCTTCTTTATGTGGGTTCAGAAGAATCCAAACTCTGGTCTTTATGTTTTCATAGCAAGCAGTTTATCCACTGAGCCCTCTACCCAGGCTTTTCTTCACAAATTTTAAGCTATTGTTAACTTTAGGCATAATTCATACAGAAAATTCCTAGAATTTATTTGTCTTGCCTAAACAAAACACTACACCCCAGATGGCAGCTCATGCCCTCCTCCCCCCAGGCCCTAGCCACTATCTCTCCTCTCTGCTTCTGTGTCAACTGTTGTCAGATGCCTCATGTAAGTGGAATCATGAAGTATTTGTTCTGTGACTGGTTCATTTCACTTACATAATGCCCTCTAAGTCATCCATGTTAAAATGCATGGTAGAATTGCCTTTCTTTTTAAGGCTGAAAGACAGTCCATATATATATTCTCCCATCAGTGAACATTTAATTTTCATGTCTTTCCTATCACAGTATACTTCATTTTCTGTTTAATGGTCTTTCAGAATGGTTTTTATGTTCAACATTCTGGCAGGAAGACATGATAAATGTCAAGGCATGTAAGCTGCACTCTATGAATCAGCTATACATATACAATTATATAGAATTGGTCTCCCAAGAAATTAACAAACCCAAGAAACAAAAATATTCTATGAAATGAAAAGTGAATCTTAGTATTTTAAACTCTGACAATTAGTGTATTTAGGGTTATTCCCAATACCTGAGAAGTTAGACATATGGTTTTTTAAACTACATGTTTTAAATAATAGCTCCTACAGTTTGTATATAGAAAGACCACAAATGAGGTATGTTGCCCTTCTGTGGAAACAAATATTCTGCTGCTAAAATGGCCTTTGTTCTTCATGTCAGATTAATACAAATGTAGGCCAGATGTATAGTAGAGACAAGAAACAGTCTCACTCAGAATTTCCATGGTATTTGTAAGTGTTCTGCCCTTTGCTTCTGAAGGACAAACTTGGCCCCTCCATTGTGGGGTTACATAATCAACCATGGGTCAGAACACATCACTTTTACTACACAGATGTTGAGAATTCAAATATGAATCTCCATCAGTGCCATACAAAAGAGATATAAATTTCTTCTTTTGCTCCATATCAATATATAGAAATTAAGGAATTCAGTGTGTAATGGCTAGATTTATGTCAACTTGACACAAGCTAGAGTCATTTTGGAAGAGAAACCTCAATTGACAAAATGCCCCCACCAGATTGGCTTGTGGGCAAGCCTGTAGTATATTTTCTTAACTGATGATTGACATAGGAGGGACTAACTTACTCTGGATGGTGCCACCCCTGGGCTGCTATGAGAAAGCAAACCAAAGAGTGATAAGCCAGTAAGTGGCATTTTTCCATGAGCTCTTGCCTCCAGATTCCTGTCTGGAATTCCTGTCCTGACTTTTCTAGATGATGGACTATAAACTTTTCCTTCCCAGGTTACTTATGGTGTTTTATCAGAGCAATGAAACCCTAACTAAGACATAGCGTAATACATAAATGTCAACAGGATTAGGAGATAGAACACAGACTTCAGAACACACATCATTGATGTCTTCCATTGTATGGCCACTCAGTATCCTGCAATGTCTTTGTGGGTTTTTTATGTTTATAGTTAAACAAGTCATTGGCAAATTCCTCTGTGTGTGTGTGTGTGTGTGTGTGTGTGTGTTAAAATAAGTAAACATTACAGCATGGTAGAACAATATGAATTTAGAAATTATATAATCTCCCCTCTCCTTGATCTTCTACTAGATGAGCAGTGAGCCCTTTTCTGAATATACATAATGCTGAGCTCTGTTAGTTTATAAGGCAGCAATCTAGGGCTTAAGGAATTCTGAGATCTAATTATTAGATGAATTTGCTAGATGGAGTCTTAATCTGCCTTCTCTAAATTCTACATGTTTATCCCAGGGGGCAAAAGAGATGACCTGTCTTCTCCTTCTGTATGACAAATTTTACATTATTGCCCCCTCTCTCCTGGTCGTGGTCTTGGCTTTGTGCATATCATTACTGTGCCTTCTAAGTTCTTTCTTTTTCAAACTGTGATGCTTACGAACAGCAACAACAGCACACAGGGCACCATGATATATGCCCATTGTTAATATTTCACTCTTTGCTGGAGGAGATGAATTTTGTTAATGCTTATAATTGGCATATGAGGAAGGGAAATTAAACAGCTTGCCCAAGTCCCTGCAGATCCAGTTGGTAGGTTCTCACCCTCCTGTTTTTCCTTCAGTATTAATCTTACACTCCATTTTTGACAGTCCTTAGACTGTATCAGCTTCTCAGATGTAAAATTATGCCACAGTCCCTACTATTTAATACCCACTAGATTTGTGCTTTCTGATTGTCTATCTGCTATAGGTAGGCACTTTGTTTATAGTGCTTCTATCCATCATAGCTTTTCCCTCTGCTGAGTCACCCTTTATCCAGCCTCCTTATTAAGTCTCCATAAAGCCATAACCTTGCTTTTCTCACCTATGACATCCATGAGTTCTCCTAGTGTTCTGAACTGGCTTCATCTGGACCAAGAGGCTCAATCTTCTTTAGAATAACTTAAGGAATTCCTAAGTATGGTAAGGCTTAAAAACTCCCTCAGTGAAGAGTGGGCAACTGGGAGGTGGTGTCTCTAGTTCCTCTCTTGTTGGTTGGGCAAAGTAAATGGCAACTT